ACCCCTGCCTGGCTCTGCGGCACCGCCCCAGGCGGGCCGGCGCCTCGCAGCAGCGTGGCCAGGCCTGAGCCCGGGGAGTCCTGGGCGGTGCATTTATGAAATAAGGCTCGGCCCCGCTTCCGGCCTGTCTCCAGCGCGGCTGACTCCATCGCGGTCCGGGAGTCGGAGCCTGTGCGTGTCAAGATCACGCCCCCGGTGGCGGCGCGCTCCCCTCCATTTTCGTTCCGGGGCGCTGTCTTGCGTGGGAGAGCCCCGGGGGCGCGCCCCTGCGCCCCAGCACAGCCCTGGGGGCGCCTCACGTCCGCCGTCGCCTGCGAGTCCCCCGGAGGAGCCGGGAAGGGCGCGCGCGGCCCGCCGAGGCCAACGTCGCCGGGAGGGTGCGGATCCCGGCGACGAAGCAGCAGCAGCCGAGACTCCCCCCATTCCCTCCGCGCGGCAGCCCCGCGGCGGGGTCTGGCTGTTCCCCGGAGGGTCTCCGCCGGAATCGGAGAGAAGCAGAAACTGTCTGAAGTCATGTGACTTATCACAGCGCAGAGCAGACCCAGTGCCTGGAATTAAGTATAAGATAAGTGAGGTACAGACCCGGGGAGACCACCTGCTGCCTTTGGTCACGTGGTGGACTTTTACTCTGTCTGGGAGTTCTTCGGAGCTGCCGTAAATGACCGCAGACTGGGGCCTTCAAACAACAAAGTGGTTCTCTTGCGTCTATTCCTTGCCTCTGAGCTTCTGGTTGCCATCAGTCATTTTAACTTCCCTTGTGGCCGCGTAACTCCACCCTCTGCCTCCACAGTCACAGGGCCTTTTCCTTGTTTTCTTTGTCTCGTCTCCTGCCAAGACCCTACCTGCAAAGGAGGTCCTAGGTACAGTGGGTAAGAGCTTTGACATGGCTCGTTGGGAGGGGCCAGAGGCATAATTCAACCCCCAGTACTGTCCAAATAGGTTTAGCCTGGTTGGGGCAGCCCAAAGGTTAATAATTACAAATTTTACTGGGATTGGCACTGAGGATGCAGAGCCAAATTAGCTCCTGCCCTCGGGAAACCTTTAGACCAATAGTGGAGCCAGACAGGGAAACCAGACAGCGATTATGGAACATGAAGAGTCAACAGTGAAGACAGGTCCAGAGTTCAAAAACGGGGAAATTTTTCACTCTTCTATCTCAAAAGAAAGGTGTTGAGAGAGGAGGGCTCAGTGACAACTGAGTTCAACAGAACTGAAAATGTAAAAAACACAACCCTGCTGGTCCTGAAAGCTCAGTAGGGCGCATTCAGAGCCCAAGTTTGTCCATCAGTCTCTTCCTTCTGCTTTTGCAACAGGAAGGCTGCACCGATAGCCCTAACGATACGTCTGCTTGGAGTGAGAGTCACAACTGTGAAGGAAAATGTTGTCATGGAATGAAAGAGAAGGCATTTCAGAGTGGAATAGGAGTGGAGCAAGAATTTCCAAATACCTGCTGAACGTCTCCATTCAGATATCCTACCAGCATCTTAAACTTGAAGTGTCTCACCCTAGCCAGTTCGCTCAGTGGTTAGAGCGTCGGCCCTCGGACTGAAGGGTCCCAGTTTTGATTCTGGCCAAGAGCACGTACCTCGGTTGCAGGCTCGATCCATGAGCGGCAACCAATCCATGTGTCTCACATGGATGTTTCTCTCTCACCTCCCCCTCCACTCTCTGAAAAAGCAATGGAAAAAAAAAATATGCTCAGGTTCAATTACCTTTCGCCCCCTACCCCTTCCCCACTGCACTGCCCGTCTTCCAGGCCCTGTAAATGGAAACCTTTTGACCTCTCCGTCTTTATATGACCAATTGCCAAGTCCGGCTGATTCTCTGGGCGCACTTCATATGGTGCGCCTGCCCTAATTTGGATTCCCCCAGAGAGAGACTGAGACAAGGCATCGGGCGCATGTGTTTGGACATGGAGCTGACCCCAAACTCAGGAAGAAGTGGGAAGTGTGAGACAGACAGACAGAAACGCTAACAAAGGATGGATTATCGAATTATTGGCTGCTCCGGGCAGCCAGGGCTCGGTTCCACTGGAGACCCTCTCAGGAGCAGGGGAGCACCGCCCAGGGTTCTCCTCTAACTTTAGGGAGCACTCGGGCGTGCTTATTAACTTGAAGGTGCCCAGGCCCCAGCCTAAGGGTGCTGATCCCGTTCCCTGGAACCCGCCTATTACACAAACTTCCCCGGGATTCCTGCGCAGGGGGCGCCCGGGAGCGTCCAGGGAAGGTTCCCCTTGCAGCCGCTGGGGCCGGGCGCTCGGAGGCGTCCTGCGTTTCCCGGACGACCGGGGAGG